GCGGCCCCCGAAACCTGGCCCAGGAGTCTTGCAAACCCGAGGCTGAACTACCATTTTGAGTCAATAGTGTGGTGATCTCCGTTGGTTGCGGACCGTCATTCCAGACGTTGGTAGCAGGTTGCCCTGCGTCGGCCTCAGCGTGAAAGGTCTCGGTGCGGTGACCGCGACTAGATCTTGCCAGGGGTTCTCTCAGCGATGTGGGCACATGACCTCACGCGTTCAAGTAGGGAGTCAAATTGTTGCTGGTCCCTCGGCATCTGGTGGTTTAGCGGCTGCGGGAGTTGTTGTGCACGCGACGCCCCCACTCCTGAGGCTCTGAATCAGATAACTGTTAGAATTTGGAAGTTAGGGATGTTGAAGCCTGCCGTCTCAGCTTCATAGCGGGCTATCTCGAAGCGTGCCAAAGTCTGGTCGGTCCGTTCTCCCGCATGGACTCGAAGTCAATGAGAGCTGTGCCAGAGTTGAGTTGGCGTTCCTCTTCTAAGTTCTCGAACTTCGTACATATTGTAGATGACGCCATCGGTATGGCGGCCACCTATGTTAACGCCGGCATTGATAGATGCTGGGGGAACTAGCATGGCTATTGTCCGTGCGAGGCCTCCCAAGCCTCGCTGCAATGCTGCAGTTTGTTGGGAGGGCGTCATGGTGCCTGTGGCCACGTTGATCCAGGCATGCGCCTCGCGAGCGAATTCGCGGAAAAGTACTTCACTGGCCGGGTCCTAGATGGGGGCCGGTTGGTCTTGCGTCGTCTCCGCCACGCATGTGTCCCACCGCACGCCCGATAGCAACCCATGTGAGCCCAAAGATAGCTATACAAATCCAATGGCCTCGTGGGTCGTAGTCGGATGTGGTTGATTGGGGCTTGTGGTGTGTGGTCGTAAGCCTGCGTGGGGGGGGGAGGCGGCACAATGTCGTATCGCATGCTTCCATGTATTACGTCTTGGAAGAAGCTTGATATTGGAGTAGGTGGGTGGACTTCAGGAGTGTAGTAGCGCAGGGATGTAGGACTCGAGTAAGAGGCCTCTGCGTAGGCAGAGGTATCACTGCAAGTTTTTGCGGTATTGCGTAGTTCTGCACACTCTTCCGCGCAAACCCACTGCACCCTGATGTTCCACCACGTCAGTAGTCCACCAGATAGTGCCGTGGATGGTGAGGAGTAGAGCAAGAGCTGACCACCATAGGCCAGCTCCGCTACCAAGTTTGAAAGGGGTTGGGAGGCCCAACCAGCAGCTTCGCCTTAGGCGAAGCCCAGCTCCAGCTCTGTTGCCGTAGTAACGATAGTCCCAGTAGTAGGAGATCGTCGCGAGTGCGACGAGCCATCTCAAGTAAAGGATGTGTTGGTCTCGATGGCAAATGGTACACCTCGCGCTGAGGTGTAGTCAGATCTGGGCGGCCGGCCACTTGAGTACAAACGGCCGCGGACACACATTCGTGACCTCTCGTCTGTATCCCAGCTCACTTTAGAGTGCACCAACAGCCGAAGCCGAAGCCAAAACCGAAGCGCACAGAAAAATGGAAGTGGCCCGCCCTGCAAGTTTGGCTGACAGCATATCGACGAGCGGTGCTGCAGCCGCGCGGGTGGGCGCGAAGGCAAGTGCGCCCAAGGCCGCCCTGACCGCGCCACACCCGCGGCGTGCCTCTTCTTATCGTTCTTTTGATTGCTAATACTATTCTTAGTGTTAACTTGTATTGTTATACGTGTCTCTTAGTATCTTGTTTGTGATTGTTATTATCATTGCGATTCCGATTATTAGCATGCTTCTCATTATTAGTGCAATTCTGACTGTCATGTTTTAGTTACATGATTATTCGGCCGCCGTCGGCGCCTCCGCGCCGGGCAGCGGCCCGCCGCCGCCCGAGCGCCGAGGTGCCGAAAGAGAAGGCCCTGTGCTCCTCGCACGAGGGCCGCCCGTCTTGACGCAGGGACGCTTGGCGGCGAGCGATGGGGAGGAGACCGAGAGGGGAGGAGGCCTTCTCAGACGGCGGCGGGACTTCTCGGAGGCCCTCGCGCGCCTTCTGGGAAGTGCACTGCGTCTCCGGGGAAGGCTCAGAAAGCTTCTCGGGAGGCCGAAGGGCTTCCGAGCCTCCTGAGAGGGTCCGCCCCTTCTCGCTTAAAGGGGCCCAGGGACGCACAAATAAATGCACACGAATCCCAGGATTCCCCATATCTTCCAATCTGTTATGGATTTTCGTCTTCCCCCCACTTCCCATATTGTCCCACATTTTCGTGGGAATCGACGAGGAATTGTGTCTGTGTTCCTTCCCCTCCTGATCGCTTCCCCCCCCCTGGGCTCGCCGCCGAGACGCCGGGCATCTCTCGGGGATCTGGGCGGCGCGCACGGGGGGAAGGCAGGGCGGGAGAGGGGGGGGGCTTCTTGGAAGGCCCTGGATATGCAGATGAGTAGGGAGGCACCAACTATACACCAACACCGCTCCTGGCCAGGATCACCCTGGGCCCAGGATCGGTGTATACGCCCTCCTGCCCTGCGCAAAAAGGCATATACACCGATCCTGGGCCCAGGGTGATCCTGGGCCAGGATCGCTGTTGGTGTATAGTTGGTGCCCTCCGACAAGAGGCCATCCCCCCTCCCCCCCGTGTCCTCCCTCGGCGCGTGGCCGACAGATGGGGCTGGAGCAGGTGAAATCGGAGCTTCACAGCGCATCGCCGAGGCGCCCGCGATGCGCCTCGGTGCACTCCGACCCCATCTAGGAGGTCCCTCTGGAGATAGAACAGCGGTGAACTCGCTGGCCCACCGGGCCGACGGCTTGATGCACCACCCGCCCCCATGTGGTCGTGGCAATGGGTACTGGGCGTGCTTGGTGCCAGGAGCAGCTCTCCTCTCTAACCCTCTTCGAGCCTACTACCCAGTATCGCCGGGCCCCGTGTGTCGTTCCCAGGTCGGCATCCGACGCCTCCAGGAAGTGGTCGCCTCGAAAGCGGTTCGAGGCCTGGCCAAGATGACTCAAATCAACCCACTGGCAATTGCTCGCGGTGGCGTCCAAGACGGAATTTGACGGCCCCACATGCCCCCAAGACGACCCAAGGCATTCGTCAAAGCCTGCAAGATGGCCAGGGAGCCCACTGGGGGACGCAAACAGGCACCCGAACGGGCCAAAAAATGCTCAATAACAACATTTGATTTCAAGACCTGTCGTTTCATCTCTTGCGGGCCCAGGATGGCCTGCAGAAGGCGTCGAGACAGGCCCAAGACCCGCCAAGACGGCCCCAAGACCCCAACGTGCCTCCAACCCGACAGGCCTGGTCGAGGCGCCCAAAGGCTCTCAAGAGGACTCCCCAACATGGCCCCAGGAACCTTCCCCGCTCCCGAACGGCCACTCAGGATGGCCCAAAGATTCCCAGGGCCTGTCCGATGCCACCAACAGGACACCACGACGGCGCTGGATCAGACGGCCCCAGATGCCTCCAAGAGGCCTCAAGGAGGCTCCAAGATGGCCCCAAATGCCTCCGAGAGACCCAGAGGAAGCAATAAAATTACCCCGGAGATGGCTCCGCCGGGATGCCCTACGGAACAGATCACTGAAAAGTCGTGTTGCGTTTGTGCATTTTGCTTATCAGCCGTTTGGCCTCCAAAGACTTTATCGAGGGCAACGATGGCTCGAGGCACACGCAAATAATATTGCTCCGAGTAGCCCAATGTAATCCAAAAAGGGGCGCTGAAAAGGGCCAACGAGGCCTCATGCATGGCTCAAACTGGGCCCCGAAGCGGATCCCAAATCGGCCCCAACACCGTTCGTTCTTCGGACCTGAGACCCTTCAGTCGAGCCAAAGGGCGCCTTCTTGGCCCCTTTTGGAACCACCCCGGGAGCAGTGTTGGACCCTCCTGCGGATACTGTGGGCCTCTCCTGGGGCTGTCGTGGGCGATATGTACATTTGCGGCCAACTTGTAAAGCAGCTGTGCGATGTCCCAGGGCAGGCTCGTCCTTCTTCTTGGCTCGCCTTCGGCTCTTTCGAGCCCGCCCTCCTTATGTTCTGATGACTCCGACATTTACGATGCGCTCACCACTACAACCCTGCAGAAGAAACACCTGACAGATCGATTCGGCAGCAACCCCTCCCCCATCCCAAATTCACTCGTAACGGGGCCCAAGGCCGCACCAAGGGGTTCGATACCCCGTTGGCATGCGGAGGTGGGGGAGCACCGTTGCGAAAAGATGACACCACGACCAGACCGTTCACGACTCCGCGGCGCCCTCGAAGCGCACCCTGAAGCCCGTGGCCACTTTCGCCGAATTGCTCTTCAGCGCAGCTGAGGGTGTGAGGGGCAGAGGAAGAAAAAAACGGCATTCACCTAAACTTTTGGCGCTCCGCGTGGCTTTCTTGGGTCTGCGCCGCCCCCCCCCCCCAGCGGCGCCTCCAGCGGCGCCTCCGGCGCCGCCCCTGGCGCGCTCCGGGGCTTCAGGGAGCGCTTCGGAGGCGCACCGGAGTCGTCAACTGCCTGGTCGTGGGGTCATCTTCTCGCAACGGCGCTCCCCCACCTCCGCATTCCTCAAGCGAGGGGTAGTTTGGGTGACTCAAAAGGGGGTCCAGCTGCAAGGGGTTGGTGCAATAGATAGGGGCAATTGTCTTGCAAATGCATTGCGCCAGAGAACTGTATTGCATTGTATTGCAACCAATCTATTGCACTCGAAAATCCAGCAATACATTTGCGCCCCGGAAAGTACTGCACGCCCCAGATGTATTGCAGCCCCACAAATCTGCTGCACCAAATCTATTGCACCACTCCCCTGTCGCTGGACCCCCTTTTGGGTCAATCCGAGGTAGGTAGGGCGACGAAATCTATACATATCCACTGCTCCCAGGCCAGGCCCATCCTCAACCCCGCAGCGGTGTCTACGCCACGCCCTCCTGGCTTGGCCAGGAGGGCGCATACACAGCTCCTGGGTTCAGGATGGGCATGGTCAGGGAGCAGTGGATATGTATAGATTTCGTCGCCCGAGTAGGGGCGGCATCGGCGCGGGCACGCTTCAGACCCCCAGACCTGCATGGCGGCAGAGCCAGGGGGGGGCGGGCGCTCCCGCTCCAGCTGCGCCAGGAAGCGGGCCAGGGCACGCCGCTCGCTGTGCAGGTACCTCCGGCACTCCTCCCAGGGGAGGCCGTCGCTGCAGTAGTGGGGCTCCTCGAGAGGAGCGGCAACAGCAGGAAGACGACGACAGTGAGGAGGAGGTGGAGGAGGAGAAGCTCAGGAGTAGGTGGAGCAGCTGCATCAGGAGCAGGATGACGACGACAAGGGTGAAAGTAGGAGGAGGAGGAGACGAGCAGGAGCAGGACGAACTGTAGGAGCAGCAGCAGCGGGGCTCCTCGGGAGCCGCGGGGTCGTCCTGCATGCTGCATGGCCCTGCAGAGCCACCCTTCCAGAGCAAACGGAGCCGAGGCAACTGCGATTCAGGAGGGCGGACGTTGCATAGGCATCCTCCGCGTCCACCCCACCCGCCTTATATTCCTCCTCCTTCTCGTTCAACCGCCTCACGCACTTTACCCTTTGCCTCACCACCACCACCATCGCCACCACCACCACCACCACCATCACCACCATCACCATCATCATCATCATCATCATCATCATCATCATCATCATCATCATCATCATCATCATCATCATCATCATCATCATCATCATCATCATCATCATAGTCATCACCAGCATCATCATCATCACCATCACAATCACCATCATCATCACCATTATCATCATCATTATCAGCAGCAGCAGCATCAGCATCATCGTCATCAGCAGCATCATCATCAGCATCATCGTCGTCGTCAGCATCATCATCATCATCAGCAGCAGCATCATCATCAGAATCGTCATCATCAGCATCATGAGCATCATCATCAGCAGCAGCATCATCAGCATCAGCATCATCATAGCATCAACGTTATCACCACACCCACCATCATCATCATCATCATCATCATCATCATCATCATCATCATCATCATCGTCATTAGCATCATCAGCAGCAGCATCATCAGCAGCTCATCATACTCAGCATCATCAGCAGCAACATCATCATCATCCTCGTCGTCGTTGTTATCATCATCAACATCATCATCCTCAACATCAGCATAATCATCATCAGCAGCAGCATCAACATCATCGGTATCATCATCCTCATCATCATCAGCATCATCAGCATCATCATCAGAATCATCATCATCGGCATCAGCAGCATCATCATCCGTATCGACCTCACCATCAACAACAATAACAGCATCATCAACATCATCAGCATATAATCATCATCATCATCATCAGCAGCAGCATCATCATCATCATCATCATCGTCGTCATCATCATCATCATCATCATCATCATCATCATCATCATCATCACCATCATCATCATCATCATCATCATCATCATCATCATCATCATCATAGTCATCACCAGCATCATCATCATCACCATCACAATCACCATCATCATCACCATTATCATCATCATTATCAGCAGCAGCAGCATCAGCATCATCGTCATCAGCAGCATCATCATCAGCATCATCGTCGTCGTCAGCATCATCATTATCATCAGCAGCAGCATCATCATCAGAATCGTCATCATCAGCATCATGAGCATCATCATCAGCAGCAGCATCATCAGCATCAGCATCATCATAGCATCAACGTTATCACCACACCCACCATCATCATCATCATCATCATCATCATCATCATCATCATCATCGTCATCAGCATCATCAGCAGCAGCATCATCAGCAGCATCATCATACTCAGCATCATCAGCAGCAACATCATCATCATCATCATCCTCGTCGTCGTTGTTATCATCATCAACATCATCATCCTCAACATCAGCATAATTATCATCAGCAGCAGCATCAGCATCATCGGTATCATCATCCTCATCATCAGCAGCATCATCAGCATCATCAGAATCATCATCATCGGCATCAGCAGCATCATCATCCGTATCGACCTCACCATCAACAACAACAATAACAGCATCATCATCATCAGCATAATCATCATCATCATCATCATCAGCAGCAGCAGCATCATCATCATCATCATCATGATCATCATCATCGTCATCATCATCATCACCATCATCATCATCGTCGCAATCATTTGCCTCCCTTTTCCGTCCGCCGCCTCATCGTCTGCTCTTCCCCGACTGCCCCCCCTCCTCCTCCTCCTGCCTGCTCGCTGCTCGCCCTCCTCCTGCTCCTCCTTTTTCTCCAACTCCTCCTCAAGCGCCCTCCTCCTTCCTCCTCCTCCTCCTCCGCCCTCCCTCCCTCCCTCTTCTTCCTCCTCCTCCTCATCCTCCTCCTCAGGCAGGCGCTCTGCTGCGACAGCGACGGCGACGGCGAAGGTGGCCACGGCGACGACCGCCGCGGCGACGGTGACGTTGGCGAATGGCGGTGGCGGCGACGGTAATGGCGACGGCGACGACGTCGAGGGCGGCGACGGGGACGACCACGGCGGCGACGGCACCGGCAAGGGCGGCGGAGGCGACGGCGAGAGCGGTGACGGCGACAGCGATGGCGACGGCAACGGCGGCGATGAGGGTGGCGGTGTCGACGGCGACGGCGACGGCGACGGCGCCGGAGAAGGCAATGGCGAAGAGGGCGGCGACGGCGGCGACGACGGCGACGACGGCGACGGCGGCGTCACACCCTGTTTCTGCTCGAACTGCTGGAAGGCTCGCGCTGAACGTACGCCGCGGGCTGCTGGAAAACTCGAGCTCGATAAAAACACAGTGCTGGAACGCAACATTGTTTTCGGCATGGGTTGCTGGAACGTCCTCGTACAATTAATCTGAAGCGCTGAAGCAACACCCAGTGTGGGTGTTTGCCAATGTCAATCAGAGGGGGGGAGAGGAGGGTAGGGTAAAGGGATACGGACGCAGCAAGAATAAAAGCGTGAAGATCGCCCCAGAGATACCCCGCTACATACACATGCGCCGTAATGTCCACTAACTTTCATATTCCGCTTACTGTAGGGGGGGTCCAAGGATCGGGCAGGGGGGGAATAGTGAAGGGGGAGGGAAAAACAGAGAGAGAGAGACAGAGCAACAAAAAAAAGAAGGTATGGGCAAGGGTGCGTTCAGGAGAGAAGGTATACTGTCATAGCGCCAAGGGGAGCGAATGGGGACAACCGAAGCACCATCGATTACTACTGCGCCATTCCCAGGAAGGCGATGAGGAGAAGCATGAGCAGGACAAAAGGATGTGTTTTTTGCACATCGTGTCGATTATCGCACAGCGAGTGAACCGCACAAACAGCAGCTCGAGCCTGCTACGTGAAAATATTATCCCAGAAGCTGGCCGGAGGCAGCAACGATGCTAGCAGTGCAGTGGCTACTGCGCCATAGCTGTCCTGATATGGTCGGCGTTGTAGCGCGAGCAGCGAAGTCGACAGAAGGTGCCTTGTGGAAGAACAGTTGCGAACCTAAGACAAAACAAACAAAAGCAGCGTCCTCGGTTGTCGAGAAGGTCTCCACAAGTTCAGTCATGGAAATAGTTTGTTCCGCCTTTCCTGCCAGCGAAAGGGTTCCTGAAGGCCGCCCAGATGGGAGACTGGGTCGGAGGATCGAAGCACATCGCCGATGCATCTGCAACGCATCAACGACGTTGGGATATTGAACATGGGGCTCCGGATCGCGCTGCTTTACCAAAATATCGGCGATGCGGCGCGATCCCCCGACCCCACCTACTGCAGGCTCGTGCCGTGACGACCCCGACACTGGCTTCTGACGCCGCATAGATAATTCCACCTCGAACGATCGGCGGTTCCCCTGTCGCCAAATCGTTCCGTGACTGACGATTCCGGGTCAAGTACAGCAGGGGCCTGACCACAAGAAACCTTCCACAAGACACCCAACCCTGGGACCCCGGGACGTCCATGGAATTTTGTTCGGCGTGGGAACGTCACGCCCTCCGTCGCAAAACCATCGAGACACAAAACGCAAGCAGGGCACCCTGGAGGCAAGCAAGGCGTTTCTTGGCATGGGTCTCCACTGCGCGGCGTCCCGTCTTGAACGCCCGCGCCGGGGCCCCCTCCTCCTCCTCCTCCTCCTCCTCCTCCTCCTCCTCCTCCTCCTCCTCACCCTCCTCCCCTCACCCTCCTCCTCCTCCCCCTCCTCCTCCTCCTCCTCCTCCTCCTCCTCCTCCTCCTCCTCCTCCTCCTCCTCCTCACCCTCCTCCTCCTCCTCCTCCAGCCTGTCGTGTTCCCGCCCCGAGCTGAGCGGCCCGGTGCTCCTGAGCTCCGCGTGGCCCCGCCACAGGAGGCCGCCGGCCAGCTCGGGCCGCTCCTCCAGGAGGGCGAAGGGGAGGTCCAGGCCCCGCCGCAGGCCCTCGTACTCCACGCAGTAGCCGCGGGCGTTGCGCGGATCGATGAAGTCGTTGGACGGCCGCAGGCTCATGTACCTCGGAGGGGCTCGATCACTGCTGGCTCCTCGGGACACGATGGCTCGAGGCGCTTCAGCGCCAGAAGGAAGACATCCTCCTCCTCCTCATCATCATCATCATATCATCATCATCATCATCATCATCATCATCATCATCAGCAGCAGCAGCAGCAGCATCATCAGCATCATCATCATCATCATCATCATCATCATCCTCATCATCATCATCATCATCATCATCATCATCATCATCATCATCATCATCATCATCATAAGCAGCAGCAGCAGCAGCAACAGCAACAGCAGCAACAGTAGCAACAGCAGCAACAGCAGCAACAACAATCACAACAACAACAACCACAACAACAACAGCAACAACAGCAACCACAACCTCAACCTCATCATCATCAGCAGCAGCATCATCAGCATCATCAGCATCAGCATCATCATCATCATCAGCAGCAGCAGGATCATCGGCATCATCAATATTAGCATTGGCAGTAGCAGTATTACCACCATCAGCATCAGCAGCATCATCAGCATCATCATAGTCATCATCAGCAGCAGCATCATCAAGATCCGAATCAGCATCAGTATCGTCATCCTCATCAGCAGCATCATCAGCAGCAACAACCGCAGCAACAGCAACAGCAATAGCAACAGCAAAAACAACCGCAACCACAACCTCACCCTCCTCATCATCTACATCATCAACATCATGATCACCATCACCATCATCATCAGCAGCATCATCATCACCACCACCACCACCATCATCATCATCCTCATCATCATCATCATCATCATCATCATAATCACCATCATCATCATCACCATCACCATCATCATCATCAGCATCAGCATCAGCATCAGCATCATCATCATCATAAGCAGCAGCAGCAACAGCAGCAGCAACAGCAACAGCAGCAACAGTAGCAACAGCAGCAACAGCAGCAACAACAATCACAACAACAACAACCACAACAACAACAGCAACAACAGCAACCACAACCTCAACCTCATCATCATCAGCAGCAGCAGCATCATCAGCATCATCAGCATCAGCATCATCATCATCATCAGCATCATCATCATCAGCAGCAGCAGGATCAACGGCATCGTCAATATCAGCATTGGCAGTAGCAGTATCACCACCATCAGCAGCATCATCAGCATCATCAGCATCATCATAGTCATCATCAGCAGCAGCAGCAGCAGCATCATCCGAATCAGCATCAGTATCGTCATCCTCATCAGCAGCATCATCAGCAGCAACAACCGCAGCAACAGCAACAGCAACAGCAATAGCAACAGCAAAAACAACCGCAACCACAACCTCACCCTCCTCATCATCTACATCATCAACATCATGATCACCATCACCATCACCATCATCATCATCACCACCACCACCACCATCATCATCATCATCATCATCATCATCATCATCATCATCATCATCATCATCATCATCATCATCATCATCATCATCATCATCATCATCATCATCATCATCATCATCATCATCATCATCGTTACACGGCCGCAGGCTCGTCCACCTCAGAGGGGAAGGGCTGAAAGGCTACGGACACCGCTGCCCTTCCTGCGCTGCTGCCTTTTTGGGGTCTGCCTGGGGGCAGGAGAGCCCAGCACCGAACGAGTCGCATCGGCAATCGAAACGAGTCGGGCCGGCGAAGATCGGCAGCCATCTCGGGAGGAATCGGCTCAGCGGACGTCGGCAGGCCGGCAGGGCCTCCACCGAGAAATCGGAACCCGGATCGGGGTGCGAAGTCGAAGCGAATCGGGACCCGAAGCCATCGAAGCATCGAATCGGATCGAAGATCGGGGGAATCGAAACGAGCCCCGCGGGGGGGCCCCCTCGTCGCAGCGGCTGGACTCGCGCGGCAGCCATGGTCAAGGCCCACCCCCAGGAGAGGCCTGGGCGGCAGCGGTGCCGCCAGCTCTTCTCGAGGACAAGGAACGATGTCGTGATGGGATTGGCTCAGGACACTTTCGAGGAGGAGGAGGAGGAGGAGGTCCAGTGTGTATCTACCGCTCCTCGTTTCTACAGTTCGTGCAGAACGTCGGGACGTCTTGGAGATCCTGGGAACCTTTCTGGAATCCTGGGACGCATTACTACATCACGACTTCGTGCCCCTCTGACGTTTGCGCCCACGGTGCCAGGATCCGGGCCCCAGCTCTGGGGCGCGCGGGTCGCAGCCGCGCCACATCATCTCCTGGTTCGTCTCCACGTCCAGCCCGCTGTCGAGGAACTCGGTCCTGGGCTCGACATAGTGCCCGTACTTGAACACGATGTCCTTGAAGGGGCCCAGGGAGACACAATCAAGTAGAAGCACATTCCAGGATTACTATCTTTCCCCGTACCTTCTGGATGCTCGTCTTCCCCTCCATCTCGCATATGTTTACACGTTTTCCCGGAAACCGACGATTATTCGTGTCTGTGCCGATTTGTCCCTCCTAAGTCCTGCAGCGACATCCCGACATTGTGCAGGTGGCGGGCAGCCACTTTTCTCGGCGGAGACGTGCGGTGGCGACTGCTAGTCCGAACGTCCTCGAAGTCCATCTCGCCGTTCATCAGACACCGCGCCAGTGCCACGTTAGGGCGCATCCAGATCGGCTGTTTAGTGGGACAGTCCATGAAATACTCGTAGACCTGAGACCGCAATGGCACGACCGCTCCTCTGCAAGCGAGGGTATGTTCCATCCCCTGATCCAGCATCAGATTCACCATCTTGAACGATGGCACCTCGCAGTACTGCAGCGCGGCTAGAAAGTGTCGGAGTGGAATTTCGTCAGAGTCGGCGACGATCACTATGTCGCCCTCCTCCATCTCCCAATTACCATGCGAATCCTTGAAACCCTGCTCCATCTGCGCGCGCGTCCACTGTTCAAGCACAAACGCAGAATTCAGCGGCTCCCTGCCGCTCCTCAGGAGGCTGCTGCGTTCCGCCACCGACAGCTGCGACAACGTCTTTCCCCCAGTGGGACTCTCAAGCTCCACTCGACGCAACTGGTCTCCGAACCGACGGAAGCGCGGCGATGACATGTTGAGGCTCACATTCCTCTGGTGCCCCTGCTGCGTCATCTTAGGATCGACCGCCACGATGCGGGACACGAACGGGGACACCTTCTGCGGTGAGGGAAAGGGACAGGCATCAGGGCACGGCCCTTCTGAGAAGCAGGGTGCCTTCCAGAGAGGTCTAGGATCCGTTCGCATAGGCGTTTGCCAACTCCTCCAAGGAGGGGATGCCCTGGTCCCGCACGCAAAAACCTGCACCTGCACCCTGTCCTTTGCCCCACTCCCCAATGACTGCCACCTCCAGGAAGTGCAGCTCGTAGAGGTCCGCCTGTCCGGACGGTACGTCTCTGGCGTGAGGCGATCCTTCGCCTCGCCCTCCCCTCTCCTCGACTACAAGCATGTTTGCCCCCAGGCAAGAGTGACCTTTAGTGCGCGGCGCGGCTTTAGGGGGACGCGGTGGGAGGGCCAAACCCAAGCGCGCAACCCGTTGCTATCGGATCGCATTCAACGGTCGGGAGACCCCCGTGGGCCCGCAAAAAAGGTCACTCCGGCGAAAGGCCACTCCTACGTGTAGACGATATCCTCTTTCGTCGGGGAGCCAGCCGCAGTGGAGCGAGAGGGGGGCCCATGGGGGGTGGGGGCGCTCTGCTGCACGCCCCCCACCCGAAGCTCACACTCCCTGGACTCACCCACCTGCATCTTTTGACGACGTCCCTGGGCTGTTGTCTGAGCCACACAGGACAACAGGGAACAACGCAGACGGGAACAGAACGAGTTGCGCTCGGTTTACCACCTTCGCCCGATATTCAACATGAGATTGTCTGACTCGCGGCGACAGCGGCCGTTATGGGGGGGAAGGGGGGCGGCGGGGGCCTACGGTACCGCCCCCCCCGGCCATGCAGGTGTGGCACCACGGACTGTGGTGCTGGACGCACTGCGGCAGTGCTGGGGACGCAAAGGATGGGGGGCGGTGAGCGTTTCGCTACGAGGGGGGGGGGGGGGACATCAGCTCCCGAGCAGGCCCTTTCGCCCGTAGCGGCGGCGCAGCTGCGTCGGGCGTCGCGCCTGGCCACCGTTGCCGGCAACAATGCCTGGGAGGCCCTCGCGGCGGCCACCCGCCAGATCCCCCTCTCCTCCCCGCACCCCTCCCCCTCCTCCCTCGTCGGGGCAGGTGAGGAGGGGAGGCGGGGGCGGCGGAGGGGGGGCAGGGGAGGGAAGCAGGGAGGCACCTTTTTTCTCGGCGGCGACTTGGGTCCAAGACGCGGGCGGGGCAGCCGAGGGACGCCTTGGGGCCCAAGGGGGCACACAGCAGGAGAAGGACAGGCGCGGAGGTGGGGGAGGCAGCAGGGGCGCAGTGATGCAGGGAGGCAGGGGGCGGGGAGATGGAGAGGACGAGGGGGAGGAGGAGGAGTAGGAGGAGGAGGAGGAAGAGGAGGAGGAGGAGGAGGAGAAGCAGGAGGAGTAGGAAGAGGAGGAGGAGGAAGAGGAGGAGAAGCAGGAGGAGAAGCAGGAGGAGGAGGAGGAAGAGGAGGAGGAGGAAAGAAGGAGGCGGAGGACGACGACAAAGACGACAGACGACGACGACGACGACGACGACGACGACGACGACGACGACGACGACGACAACGACGATGACGACGACCACTACGACGACGACGACGAGGACGACGACGACGACGACGACGAAGAGGAAGAGGAAGAGGAAGAGGACGACGACGAGAACCGACGACGACGAGGACGACGACGAGGACGACGACGACGAGGACGACGACGACAAGGACGACGGCGACGAAGAGGACGACGACGACGACGACGACGATGACGACGCCCGTCGACAACGAAGACGGCGACGACGACGACGACGACGGCGACGACGACGACGACCGACGACGACGACCGACGACGACGACGACCGACGACGACGACGACGACGACGAACGACGACGACTAGGACGACGACGACGAAGACGATGACGACAAGGACGACGACGACGACGAGGACCGACAACGACGACGTAGACGACAGACAACAGACAAAGGACGACGGAGGACGGACGACGACGACGACGACGACGACGACGACAGACGACGGCGACGAACGACGGCGACGACGACGACGCCGACGCCGACGAAGACGACGGGAACGGTAGACGACGACCAACGATGGACGAGGACAGACGACAGACGACGATAACGACGCAGACACTTCGCAGTGGCGGCGCGGAGGGGGGAAGCGGAGCGAGGAAGGAGAGGAAGGATGAAAAAGAGGACAAGGGGAAGGACGAGGAGGGAGGAGGAAGGGTGAGGAGGGGAGAGGAGGAAGGGGGAGGGAGGGAGGAGGGGGAGGGAGGGAGGGAAGGGAGGAGAGGAGGGAGGAGGAGGAGGAGGAGGAGGAGGAGGAGGAGGAGGAGAGGAGGAGGAGGGGGAGGAGGAGGAGGAGGAGGAGGAGGGAGGAGGAGGAGGAGGAGGAGGGGGGGCGAGGAGGAGAGGCGAGGAGGAGAGGCGAGGAGAGGAGTAAGAGCATCTGACTGGGTGGGTGCGGCCATGGCCCCCGTCCGGCGGTGCCGTAGAAGATGCGGGGCCTCCGCGCCCCGGGCGCGAGCGGCGGCCAGCCTGGGAGCCACCATCGCCGCCGCAGCCGACGCCGATTGACTGGCCGACCGACCGCTCGCCGTCGAGCGACTTGACTCACGAGAGGCGAACATATTCGTATCCTTACTTACGCAGGCCGAAAGATTTTCCTCTTGAGCCCCACATACCGGAAGCGACGCGCCGTTCAGGTGAGCGGATACATCTAGCGTTCGCTTCGAGGTGGGGTAGATATGTTATGGGTGGAGATGGGGGAGTTGGCCTGGCCCGCTGTGGCGTTCGAGCAAATTTATGTTATGGGGGGATTTTCGGGAGATGGCCAGGCCCGCGGTGGCGCTCGAGCAACCACATGTTATGGGAGAGGTGAAGGGAAGTGGCTGGGCCCGCTGTGGCGCTCGAGCTTCCGACTTGGACACTTTGCTTGTGTGTCCTCGCCCTCCCTTATCCCTTCCTTTCCTCCTCCTCCTCCCACTTCCCCCCTCCTCCTCCAACCTCCTCCCTCCTCCTCCTCCTTCCTCCTTCGTCCGTCCGCCTCCCTCCTTTCTCCTCCCTCCTCCCTCATCCTCCTTTTCCTCCTCCTTCCCCTCTTCCTTCCTCCTCCCCCCCTCTCTTCCCTGATTATTCCTCCTCTCTACCCCCCTGCGTCCCCTCTGTTCTCCTCAGAAATAGGATCCACGAAACTCTCCCACACCCGAAAAGGGATCCAATTGGACCCATTGATGTTCTCATATTTTTTGTCCTAAAGGAAAAACTTTCGGCCTGGGGATTTAGGTCTGGCATGTCCTCCTACAGACGAACGCTGAGGGAAAAATGCAGAATAGCCAACTGAAAAGAAAACACTCGAAAATAGTCCGCACTGGTCGAAAAAAACGTTCCCATGCTGTGTTTCGCCTACGTTTTGAGCATCCGTCCTGTAGAGGGACATGCCCGACTGAACCGTCTCCGCGCCCTCGGACCCCGGGACGCGATTCCGCGCATCCGCGATCGCACGGACTCCGTGCGGGGCACCCTTGGGAAGCACGCCCCGTCGCCGCAGGGCCGCGGCCCAGGGCCCGGCCCTCGAGAGGCCGCGGATGCGGACATGTGCCCCGCCCCACGATCGCCGCCTCGATCGAGAAGGCTTCGGCCGCGTGATCGACTCTCAACGGCGCTCCTGGTCTCCAGACGCTCTCCAACGGAGAGCCACGGACTTTCGGAATTGTTGCCATCACTCTCGATGCGGCGCCCCGCCCCTTTTTAGGCGCACGTGCGGTTTCTTAGCATCGTTGGGTGCGCGTGTACAGTACGCTGCCGAGTGAAACCGCCTGCGCCCTTCATGGGCTCGCCTTCCGGCGCACGGGTTTGACCTTGACCCCGACCTCGATGAGGTCACCTCGTCGATCGACAACTCTGGATCTACCCCGAGTTTTTATCCGTACCGATGTCTACACCGACCTGCCTCGATCGATGGGCTACCTCGTCCATATCGAGCTGCCTCGATGCACCTCGAGCTTACCTCGATCGCTTTGCCTCGATCTACCTCGAGCGATAGTAGGGGAACGAACAATGACATAAACATAGAAACCCCCAGAACCGCGCGGATTTCTCGGATCCGCGCTGGACCCCCCAGGCGGCGCCTCTGGTGCTGCCTCTGGCGCGCTCCGCGCGCCAGGGAGGGGGGTCCAGCGCCGATCCAAGAAATCCACGCGGACCTCCGAGTTCTGTCTATGTCATTGTTCGCTTCCCTAGATTTAGGTCAGGCATGTCCTCCGACAGGCGGATTTGGGACGAAAAATGAAAAATGGACGGAAAAAAAACCAAAAAATTAGCCTGGCGAAGAACCCAACCATATGCAGTTGTCAGTACCGCAGCTGCGGGTTTCATCTTCAATGGAACTCCCCATAGGACTACGGAACGTGTGAGGGGTGTGCCGAGATGGGTTCCACTGGGGCATTCGGCGAAGCTCCCTATGGGGACATGAAACACGCGCGGGGCGTGCCGACATGGGTGGCGGAAACGCATGTGCGGGCCGCCACTGGGGCCTCCAGTGGAGCTCCCTATGGGTCCCCGAAACATGATGCTGCTGCGGGGGGGGGGGCCGGGATGGGTGGCGGAGACGCATGTAAGCGCCGCTACTGGGGCCTTCGGTGGAGCTCCCTATGGGGCCACGAAGCGCGTGAGGGGTGTACTGGGATGTGTGGCGGGGACGCATGTGAGCGCCGCCACTGGGGCCTTCGGTGCAGCTCTCTATGGGGCCACGAAACGTGTGAGGGGTGTGCCGAATTGGGTGCGGGTGGTGACGCATGCAGGCGGTGCCACTGGGGCCTTCGGTGGAGCTCCCTATGGGGCCACGAAACCTGTTGTTGTGAGGGGCGTGCTGGGATGGGTGGCGGGTACGCATGTGAGCGCGGCCGCTGGAGCCTTCGGTGGAGCTCCCTATGGGGCCACGAAACGTGTGAGGGGTGTGCCGAATTGGGTGGGTGTGGGTGACGCATGTGAGCGCCGCCACTGGGGCCTCCGGTGGATGGGGCCACGAAACCTGTCAGGGATGTGCCCAAATGGGTGTGCGGGACGCATGCGCATGTGAGCGCCGCCACTGGGGCCTTCGGTGGAGCTCCCTATGGGGCCACGAAACGTGTGAGGGGTGTGCCGAATTGGGTGTGCGGGACGCATGCGGGCGGCAGCACTGGGGCCTTCGGTGGAGCTTCCTATGGGGCCACGAAACGCGTGAGGGGTGTGCCGAATTGGGTGTGCGGGACGCATGCGGGCGGCAGCACTGGTGCCTTCGGCGGAGCTCCCTATGGGGCCACGAAACGTGTGAGGGGTGTGCCGAATTGGGCGTGCGGGACGCATGCGGGCGGCAGCACTGGGGCCTTCGGTGGGGCTCCCTATGGGGCCACGAAACGTGTGAGGGGTGTGCCGAATTGGGTGTGCGGGACGCATGCGGGCGGCAGCACTGGGGCCTTCGGCGGGGCTCCCTATGGGGCCACGAAACGTGTGAGGGGTGTGCCGAATTGGGCGTGCGGGGCGCATGCGGGCGGCAGCACTGGGGCCTTCGGTGGGGCTCCCTATGGGGCCACGAAACGTGTGAGGGGTGTGCCGAATTGGGTGTGCGGGACGCATGCGGGCGGCAGCACTGGGGCCTTCGGTGGGGCTCCCTATGGGGCCACGAAACGTGTGAGGGGTGTGCCGAATTGGGTGTGCGGGACGCATGCGGGCGGCAACACTGGGGCCTTCGGTGGGGCTCCCTATGGGGCCACGAAACGTGTGAGGGGTGTGCCGAATTGGGTGTGCGGGACGCATGCGGGCGGCAGCACTGGGGCCTTCGGTGGGGCTCCCTATGGGGCCACGAAACGTGTGAGGGGTGTGCCGAATTGGGTGTGCGGGACGCATGCGGGCGGCAGCACTGGGGCCTTCGGTGGGCTCCCTATGGGGCCACGAAACGTGTGAGGGGTGTGCCGAAGTGGGTGTGCGGGACGCATGCGGGCGGCAGCACTGGGGCCTTCGGTGGGCTCCCTATGGGGCCACGAAACGTGTGAGGGGTGTGCCGAATTGGGTGTGCGGGACGCATGCGGGCGGCAGCACTGGGCCTTCGGTGGGGCTCCCTATGGGGCCACGAAACGTGTGAGGGGTGTGCCGAATTGGGTGTGCGGGACGCATGCGGGCGGCAGCACTGGGGCCTTCGGTGGGCTCCCTATGGGGCCACGAAACGTGTGAGGGGTGTGCCGAATTGGGTGTGCGGGACGCATGCGGGCGGCAGCACTGGGGCCTTCGGTGGGGCTCCCTATGGGGCCACGAA